CTGACATTACAGAAGGTACCATGATGACATTCAAAGTCCAAACCTGTAACCAGCTCCTTTCCTGCCGCGAACCCACGCGAACCAGTCAGGGTTTCGGGGTTTAGGGTTTAGGGGTTTATGGTTTAGGGTTTAGGGTTTAAGGCTTTAGGGTTTAAGGGTTTAAGCTCCTTTTCTGACGGTTGCCTCAGGCATGAGCTGGGAGCGCTTCACGGTGATCTATGCCGGGTCCGGACTTTTCGCGTTCCACAACACGAAGCACAACCGCATGATCCGTAGCCTGCCTGGAGGTTCATGGGTAGTTGTAAGTGGGGTTATAAGTCTCCTAATATAGGTTCTAACTAAAGTTATCCTACCTCTAACCCTACTTATAACTACTACCCATGAACCTCCAAGTGGGCCTAGTCTTGAGCACCTTTCGAGAGCTCTGTGGGAACTTCGGGCATTGTCTCGCTTCGGCTTAAGTCCAGAACCCTTAAACACTAAACCCCAAAGCCCCTAAACCGCTAACCCCTGAACCTCTAAGTCCTAAAAAACCCTTACGCCCTTAAACCCTAAACCAAAGAGCAGCTGAGGCATGTCCAACGAGAGAGTGGACCGCAGTGGGAAAAAGTCCCCGCAGGATCTGCCAAAAGGCTGCAGTCCTAAACCCCAAACCCTTTAACCTCAAACCCTAAACCCGAAACCCAAAAGGCTGGAGCTGGGAGCGTTGGGAGGTCGTGCTTGCGAAGCCCTTCCTGCAGCCGGGTTCTGTGGTGGCCCTGCATAGTGGAAAGTTTAAAAGATCCCGAGCTCTTGTTTAGGAACTTAGTTCTATCCTAGATAATACAACAACTCTTTCACTGAATATCCTGTAGGTACGGAAAATCGACGTTTTTCCCTAAGACAGAGCCCAGGATACATCAAGATGAGCGGGGACAAGATGAAGCGGAGCGCAAAACGCGGTTTCGGCCCGCTTCCCGCGCACTGGCTCTCGGAGCAGTTCACCGTGGTGGATGCTGGGTATGGCCAGGTTGCTTTCTACAACGCCAGGTGGGGCCGCTTCATTCGGATGCTGGTTCTTGTTAAGCATGTTTCATGGAAGTTACCATCACAAGGATCAATAGCAAGTATTTTTATATGGTGTTTGTATTATGGTGACTTACCTTAAACCGCTTAACAAGAACCCAGGATGTCTGGGAGCAAGTTGAAGACCACTTCCAAGAGGGCCGCTACGAACCTACCGAGCCATTGGGCTTCCCCGCGCTTCACCGTTTTTCCTGCAGGCAGCGGCACTTTTGCTTTCCACAACACCGACGAAAACCGCATGATCCGAATGACGGACAAGGCCATTTTGAGCCAGTCATGGGTAGCTATAAGTGGGTTATAAGCCCCCCAAAATTGGGCTATGACTATAGTTATCCTACTTATAACCCCACTTATAACTACCCATGAACCTCCAAGTAGGTGCTTGCCTCTAGTCCCCCTTCATGTTAGGGGACCCCTTCAGAGACCGTTTATGGAATCCTCCTCCATCTTGGGAGGGTCAGGGGACTTAGTAAGTAGTTGTTTTATAGAGTTATAAGTGCCATAACCCCAATTAGGGCCCCTATTAAGGTACTTAAAAGTCTATATAGTAACTACTTACTAAGTCCCTCGACCCTAAACCCTAAACCCTATACTACCCTTTATAGAGCCCTTTAAAGTAACCCTTTTAATCCCCTTTAAAGGAGCCTCTACTTACTAAGTCCCTCGACCCTCCAAGAACCCAGGTCATGGATGCCAGTGCAACAAAGGATCCCCAGAACTTGCCAGCCAGTTGGACGTGGGAGCGCTTCAAGATCCTTAGGGGTACTTAGAAACATTTTTTTCATTTTTGGTTATTATAATGCTTAAGAAACAGCTAAAATTAGAATTTTTGATAGGGTTCTAATTTCAGTATAGGATCGTCGTGGTCAGCGAGGCCACGCAGAAGGCTGACGACGTGAGCTGGAGCTTTGACTGAGTCTGAGTCTCAGAGAAAGCAACAGAAAGTGTAAGCAAGAACAACTTGGAAGCTCTTTGTGGCTTTCAGTCAGCGCTGCTTTCCAGCGTAAGAAAAAGTGTTTCGGCGGGTGGTTCAGTAGCAGCAGTTTGCAGTTTTGGTAAACCGCTCTGCCAAAAGAGAGCTCAGGAACCTTATTCCAGTTTCTAAGGCTCGCCTCCAAACCATTGTACAGGTCCAGGATTTTGTCCATCAGGCGTCCAAAACCCCTCAACCCTGGAGCAACTCATAGGATTCGTATGCTTTGCTAGGTGTTAGAAGTTTATAGTGGTTTTCATCGTTTTTTGTTGGCATTCTGTTTACGGTTTACAGAGTACCTAAAAGGAGGATCACTACATGCACGCTCACCGGTATATTACCCAGAGAGCCCAATACCCCTTAATTAAGGAATATGGCTTAAATTATATAGGGCTTCATATTATGATTTAGGCTATATTCCTTAATTAAGGGGTATTGGGCTCTCTGGGTAACACCCTGGAACTCTGAACCCAGTCGCCCAAAACCGCGACCGCTAGCCTGGACTAATCCCTCAGGAATCCTCAGGAGACGTTTGTGCATCGCAGGGAGCAGAAACAGGTCCTCAAGGGGTTTGAACCTCGAGCCCTTACCAGACCAGTCATTCAGCAAAGCCTTAAACCCTAAACCCTGAACCCTAAGCCCCTGAACCTCTAAACCCCTAAACGCCTGAACGCCTAAACAACTAAACCCTGAACCCTTTCATGTTCGGATGCGCCCGTGATGCTCGTTTTAGAGTGTAGCTGTCGACGTGAACACCTTTCCTGGCTGAGAGCAGATTACGCGTTTCTCTTGGGGTAAAGTGTTCTGTATGAGTGCTCGTGTACTATGCTGGGCGGTAGCTTGCATGCAACCTAAGCTGTTTCAGCATTCCTAGTCGTGATGCCCTAACATGAACATGTAGGTCGGTTGGGTCTTAAAGCTTGATTTCCTTGCATGTTCAAAGGTCTGGCTTGTTGCAGAACCCCTAAGTTTAGATTCAGGCTTGCGAATCCGAACTTGAGAAGGTTTACGAATTTAGTGCTTTAGGGTTTAGGTGCAAGTGCAGCCGCCATGAATCGGAATGCTGCCGTCTTCGTGCCGGGCGGCTATGGTCACAGTACGCGGTCCGGCAGCCCAGATTCCTCGATAGGCGTCGTGCACGGTTTAGGGTTTGATGCTGCTCTTGTTGTTGGTACTGTGTTGCTGTTTCTGCAACTCTGGCTGCTGCTGCTGACGAAGAATAACATTCTGTTGATTGAGTTAGCAATATTACTTCCTCTGTTCTGCAGTATTGGAATTTGTTAGCTACTAGTTTGCACAAGTTGTTCATGGCTTCGATGAGCCCTGAACTCTAAACCCTAAACCAAAAGCCCCAACCTCAAGCCCTTTCTGCAGTGTGAGATTCCCACTGCACTTCAAAAACCATATATCCTAGATAAACGTTAATTAAATCCATATCTACATCCGAAATCCTACATCCTAGGCCCTAAACTGTAACCCTCAACCCTGGATGAACCCCAAAACCCAAAACCAAGGTTCAAACCTGTCATTGGCGTGTAGATCCGAAACCCATTTCCCCAACCCGAAGATCCTGACCCAACCCCTGAGCTTCGTTATATAGTATAAAGGTCGGAGTACCGAGCTACGGTTGAGGGTCTAGGGTTTAGGGATGAAGGGGAAGCAGTATTACTCTAGTAGTTATACGGACATGCATTTCTACCTGCCCAAGACCCGATGAAGGCCCCACATTACAGAACCAGCCAGCAGCCCTAGAACCCTGATGCACTGACCTCCCGGTTTAGGGTTTATGGGCAATAGTATTCCATGCGTTACACTGATATTCATGTCTACGTGCCCAAGACCCTATAAAGGCCCCCAAATAGCCGCAATTATATTGATATTCATATACCCTACAACCTCAACCCTAAACCCTATTAACCTCTCCGAACCCGAAAGCACTGGATCAGAAGCCTTAAAGACCGTCTGTTGTGTTTGGGTGGGGTTTAGGGTTTAGGGTTTGGGGTCTCGGGTATCCCTAAAGTCCTACCGTGTAAAACCCGAAATTTTCCAGGAGATGCTTAAGAAACCAAGTAGGAATAAGTTCACATGAGATGTTCTGTGAGGCTGCAAGCATGTTTCCTAACGTCGCAGTACAAGGCCCAAACTTGGGTGGAAAAGCGCGCTTTGTCTTACAGAAATCTACTGGGAAAAGAGGTTTAGTAGGATGTAGACAGCCTGTTAAATAGTGCTTCTTCAGGGCAACATGTAGGCATGAAACCATGGTCTCATACTATATGAGGCTTTCCTACGACATGTAGACAGGCTTATCATCGTCATTCTGCGGCGAAGGTAGAGATTTTGCAGGGCAAGATGCTTTAAAAAATACTCGAGAGTTGTCATTACCACATACAGGAGATGTTTGCACAGTCAACTTAAAGGCACAGGCTATCCTAGGAAAAACAGGGGTTTTTGGCAAGATGTATAAGCATAGAGTTTCCCTATTAGCACAGAAAGGCAAACATGCACCCTTTTCGAACCTGCTAGGAAGAGTGTTGCTCTAGGCTGGAAGAAGATCACCCAGTAGATATTCTACAGAGTTATAAGTACCATAACCCCAACTAGGGTCCCTATTGAGGCACTTATAGCTTTAATGTATATAATATAACTACTTACTAAGTCGCCGGACCCTCCAAGTACTAGGTTTCGGAATTTTGCAAGCACCAGCTTCCTTGAAGAGGTTGAGCTTGCACATCGGGGAGTCGCTGGACGCCGGCTTCGGGTCCAATACCGTCAAGGACACTTGGGTTTGGCAGAGATCTTCGGGTCGGGTTATCCGCAGGTGTTGCGGAAGCATGTGTCTTGAAGCTTGAGCTTCGAGCCTTCAAGGCCCGAATCCGATCATTGTGGCCCAGGGAGTCCAGTTGTGAGAAGTGTAGCATCTTGACATTGACCATTGCTGGCCGAACAACCGCATCAGGGCACCATGGATCCCCGTGTCCTCTTTCGTGATGAAGATTTTGACAGCGCGGAAGGCACCTATGGCCCGGTGCGAGTTTCAGAGGAGTTGACCCATGAAAGCGATGAACAAGGTGGCAGGCGTCTTCGGCCGGCGTGCGCCGCTGTCCTGGGGGGGCTCTTGTTTTTGGTGGTCCTGCTCGTGCTCCGGCTCTGGTTGTTTGAGCCAGTGTCCATCCCTCACGTCAATGACTGGGCCATCGTCTCCGTCCATCTCGACGACTTCCATGCCCCGGATGTGAGGAAAGAGCTTGACAATGTGATCGGCTATGGTCAGAACGTTGCAGGAACATTAAAGTCCATGCAGGACGACGCGCTTGGTCGCATCTCCAGTGAGCTCAATGGCCTATCCTCAAGCATGTCGCACAAGACCAAGGCGGACATCTTGACGCTCGTGCAGAGCTTGGGGCAGGTTGGCCTGGGTTTCGCAGAGCTGGGGGAATCTTTTGGACCACTCGCGGAGTATTTGGCTCAGATGCTCCAAACAAATCCGCTGGACTTACTTACCTGCGAGATGATGATGTCATCGGTCTGCGATTGCAAGAAGCCCGAGAGCAAGATGATTGTTCAGGTTGGAAAAGTTGACATGGGGTGCTTTGTCAAGGCCAAAGTGTTCCGCAAAAAATTCACCAAGAAGCTGCGCGATGCTTCACGAAAGCGGCATCACCACCAACCGAGGATCAAACTAGACTTCGATAGCCTCTTGCGGTTTCAGCCTGTCGTGAAGGTGACCAGCCACTTCGCAGGGGACACCGAGGTGATTGTCAGCGGGCTCATCCACCTCGAAATTAACACTAACATCAGAGCGGATGGCAAATACAGTACGGGCACCTACACAATGTTTCCGGCTGTGCCTTGGTCCTACACACTCTGTGGCTCTTTTGGCTGCACCTTGCTCACCCTGCAGGCCTTGGCTGAGCTCAAGGTTAAAGGCAAGCTGGCCGGCCATCTTTCCTTCAAGCTTGAAACCGACTACGAATTCGAGTGCTCGCTTGTGTTTCCGACAGGCGGCACTCCCCATGGCAAGTGTTCGCGACCCAGCAAGCAGCTCCACAACGTCGTCGACTTCGGTTGCTCTACGGATGGAGTTGCGTTGATTCGTGTGGGACCGGTGCTGACTGTGGCGCCCCTTCCAGGAGTTCCCATCACCCTCACCCCGATGATGAATGCCGAGCTAAAGGGCGGAGGACAGGTGAAACTCTTTGGCGAGCTCTTTCTGAATGACGACGGCCTCAACGTCTCGTTCAACAAGCCGGAGTCTTGCTTAGCCGCTAGCTTGAACGCCTATGTGGACGCAGAAGTCACCGGCGTGTTCTTTCCGAAAAACCAATGTGAGATTCTGCGACAGTCTGGGAAGGTGATCGCCATGTTCGAAAAGGCGATCGATGCCTTCCAGATTCCCAACCTTCCGGACTGGCTTGGCTACGTGGTCGACAAAATCAAGCAGGCGACCAAGGCTTCGCTAAAGGCCACTGCAGGTGTCTTGGATGCCGGCTTTGGCGCCCTTTGCAGAACTCCCCGTCGGCTTTGGCACAGTCTACTCTTCTGCAAGGAAATGCTTGACTCGGGCGGCAAGTGCTCGCAGCAGAAATTTGGCTGCCAGAGCTTGTCTGGCATGCTGGAGGCGCCCAAGAAGCCATGGCTCTTCGGTCTGTCCTGGCCAAGCTGGCTGGTTTGGCCGAGCTGGCTTAGGCTTCACAGGCACCAGCCCGCCGCGGACGCAGAACACCTTGCCGACGCAGCGGTTCTGGGAGCCCCAGCGAGGCCGATCTTCCACTACATTGATCACTATATCACGTTCAGCACGGACGAGCTCGAGTACGACTGCGTCAGAGGCTACACTGATTGGCAGCGTCTGTGGTCCCCCGCACATCGACGTTTCTGCTGCTATAAGTTCAACCGCGCCTGTGCTTATCAAGTCCTGCACAAGAATGACCCTGATGTCGAACCTAGTCAGGAACTTCCACATGATGAAGACGAATATCCTGATGAGGATTCAGAAAGTTGGACTGTTGAGGATGAATCTTCTGATCTGTCTTCTGCTGAAGGTCGGGATGGCGAAGGTTATATAAGTCCATGATGGTGAAGAAGATCATGGCCACGATGAAGGCTCCCAGTAATTATTTTTTGTTCCGTTGCAGTTTTAGTTTCTTACCAGAGAGTTTTCAAAAATTGGGAGTCCCTGCTTCCAAAGTCCTCTTGAGGCATTGGCACCCCGTTTCACCAGCACTCGGTTTTAGCAGATCCGGTTTGGCGCTCGGCCCGGCCCCGTTTCACCCCCGCCATAGCTGAGAGCGCCGAGCGTCTTCAGTGAATTAAGTTACTCGAGACCCTGGCAGCCAGGAAGGTGGCTTCCGTGAAAATGCTGTTTGCGTGCTGCTGCAATTGCATTCGGAGGCCAGTGTAATGCCAAACAGTTTCACTCCATGACGAAGCTGCAAACCACCTTCACCGATTACAGGAGACGTTCTTCTACATCGGGACTCGATTCGCTTGACGAAGATCCGCTCAGATTCGCCCAAAACAGGAGCAGTCGGGATGTGCTGTTGAGTCCGTAGAAGCAGACGGTTTTCGAGGAGCTCGAGGGGTTGGTTGGGATGGTGTCTCGCACGCTTACCGCGGTCGAAGATGCCAAGAAGGCTCTAAACTTTCCTGCCAGGGTTTTGTTGTTGAGCTGCTTGGCTTACCTTTCCTTGCTTTCATGGAAGTCCGCACCCCACCCCTTCACGCGCCCCGCCCCCCTCTCTCCGAGGATTTAAGAAGCTCTTGGTGTGTCAAAATCGTGCGAGATGATGAGTTCGGGAGTATTTTTATATGAAGGTCGAATATGCGCTTATTTGCTAAGTAATACGCACATATTTTGAGCTGGATAGGACAAGGCTGGGCCGGAGATGGGTGGGTGGGGGGGGGTGAGGCTCCATGGAGCAGAGACAGGTTTTGACCTTGAGCCCGTATCAGACGAGCCATGCAGCGATTCCCTAAGCCCTAAACTCTGAACCCTAAGCCCCTAGACCTCTCAGCCCCTAAACCCCTGAACACTGAACCCTTTCATGTTCGGATACGCCCGTGATGCTCGTTTTAGAGGGTATCTGTGGACGTGAACACCTCTCCTGGCTGACAGCAGATTACGCGTTTCACTTGGGGTAGAGTGTTCTGTATGAGTGCTCGTGTACTATGCTGGGCGGCAGGCAACCTACAGCTTTTTCAACATTCCTAGTCGTGATGCCTTAACATGAACATGTATGTCGGTTGGGTCTTAACGCTTGATTTCCTTGTCTGTTAAAACATACGCTTTTTTTGCGGAAGTGGAGGCATGTCTAGGCTACCCATGAACTGATTTGACCTTAGATTCAGGCTTGCGAACCCGCACTTGAGAAGGCTTGCGATGCTAGTGTTCTGGTGGTTTAGGGTTTAGGCGCACACGCAGCCGCCATGAATCCGAACGCTGCCGTCTTCGTGCCGGGCGGCTATGGTCACAGTATGCAGTCTGGCAGCCCAGATTCCTCGCTAGTTGTCGTGTACGGTTTCGGGTTTGATGCCGCTGTTGTTGTTGGTCCTGTGTTTCTGTTGCTGCAACTCTGGCTGTTGCTGCTGATGACTATGATGCTAATACCGAGAGGGGCTGTGGTGGTGATGGTGGTGGTGCTGATGGTAGCGGTGACGGCAGCGACGAAGAATAACATTCTGTTGATTGAGTGAGCAGTATTACTTCCTCTGTTCTTCAGTACTTGTCGCACAGATTGGAATTTGCTAGCTGCTGGCTTGCACAAGTTGCTCATGGCTTCGATTAGCTCTGAACTTTAAACCCAAAACCCTAAACCCAAAGCCCTAAACCTCAAACCCTTTCTGCAGTATGAAATGCCCACTGCACTTAAAAGCCCTCTATCCTAGATAAACCTTATGTCCCAATCTAAACGCGAAGCCTTACATCCTCTGCCCTAAACTTTAACCTTAACCCTGCATGAGCTCAAAACCAAAACCTAAGATTCAAACCTATCATTGGTGTGTAGATCCGAGAACCCAATTCCTCAACCCGAAGATCCTGACCCAAACCCAAAACCTCATATAAAGGTCGGAGTACCCAGCTATAGTATGGTTTCGGGTTTTGGGTTTATGGGTAATGGTATTCCATGCGATACACTCAAAAGGGATCTACAAGGGGTTTCGGGTTTAGGGGTTTAAGTGAGTTTAGGGTTTGGCTTTAGGGTCTCGGGTATCCCTACCGTTCCTAAGTGTATTCCCCAAATTTCTTCTGAATTCCAGAAGCCGCAGCCCCGCCGAAGCAGCAGAGTCCCAAACAACAGTTCAGGTTTAGGGGGTTAGGGGGTACCTTAACCCCAAATAACCCCCTTTTAGGAACTTAAACAAAGAAATCATATTAGGGGGCCCTAAAAAGGAGGTTCCTTAGGGTCCAGGTAGGGTTTAGGGTTTCGCGCAGACTCGTGCAAGACAGACACGTTTGCATCGGGTTTAGTGTCGGGCTGCGGCCCTAAATCTAAAAACCTCGCACCGTGAAGTCAAATCGAAATGCCCCGAAACCGTCCCCCTAAATTCTGGGACCCCAAACCCTAAACTTTAAACCCTAAACCCTAATCCCTAAACCCTGATCCCTAAACGCTAATCCCTAAACGCCAATCCCTAAACCCTAAACCCTAAACGCTAATCCCTAAACCCTAAACCCTAATCCCTAAACCCTAAACCCGATCTCTTCTAGGTTTTCGGAGGACCCAGGGTGTAAGATCGATTTGTGCCGAGGCCCAGCATCGCAAGTGTCGGAAGCTCAGGGCCATTGGGGAGGTTCCCAGACCTTCCAAAATCCCTTAGTTAAGGAATACCTGTAGGCGACGGGGCCTACAATTTTCGGGTTCCTTATTATGGTCAGATCATATTAGGGATCCCCATTATCATTTAAGGCATATTCCTTAATTAGGCGATTTTGGAAGGTCTGGGTAGGTTCCCAAAAGGGTTCCTCTAGGGGATCTATGAGGGATCTACAAGCGATCCTACAATGGATCTATAAGGTTTCTATACGGTTCCTATAAGGGATCTATAAGGGTTCTATAAGGATTTAGGGTTTAGGAGTTTGGGGTTCTCGGGATTCAGAGGCTTTGGGGTTCGGGTTTTAGGTTTCAGCGATGCTCCCGGGTGTAGGCTCATAATCCCAGGTCCGGGCTGGCAATACTATCGGGGCCTTACAAATTAGAATAGGGTTCCTTTAACGGGTTCTTAAAAAGGGCCCTTTTAGGGGTACTATAAGGGGTATTGTGGGGGTTTAATATCGGGGCCTCAATAATTAGAATAAGGCTTTTCAGGTTTATTGTACGAAGGTTATAGTAAGGAGCCCCCGAAACCCTATGCTAATTATTGAAGCCCCTATAAAACTCCTGTCGAAGAGGTCTTTGACAACCAGGTCCTAACCTTCCACGGGGTGTATTCTAGCCCACGGAACAAAAACCCAGAACCCTGAACTCGACACCCTAAATCCCAAACCCTCAAGACTAAGACTTGGCATGAACCTTCAAGAGGGGGTCGGTCAAGATGCTCGGAGCATCCGTGGGCTGGAGAGAGTTTAGGGCTTGGGGTTTCGGGGGAAAACGTGCAAGGTTACAGGAGCTTTATCCCCAAACCCTAAATAAACCTAGAGCATTTGGGGTTATATGTGGCTTGTAACAAGCAAGCATAGCCATATTCCTGCCATCTCTATGTACTAGGTCCCACGATCCTCTAAGCAAACCGCAAACCGTCACAGCCCCAAAGCCTACACCGAAAAACCCTAAACCCTAAGCCCTGCACCCTAAACCCTGAAACTTAAAACTCTCATAGACACCTCCAAGCCCTTTAAGCTACGGCGAAGAAGGGGGGCTGGTCTGTCCTGTTCAGGGCCTACCACAAACTGATACTCTTATTGTATTTGGGCTCCTACAGGTTTCTGGGTTTAGGTTTCTATGAAAGGTTCTAAGCGGGTTCTTGTAACGGCACGGGTTTTTGTGAGGGTTCTATAGGAGTTTAAGGTTGAGGATGTAGGGTAAAGATATAGGCTGATTGTGGGAGCCAGTCGGTGGGTGGGTCTTGCCTGTCGTATGGCGAATGCGCCTTTTTGCTAGCCGAGCCAGCAATGAACCCTTCATGAATGCGTCAACCCTTAGCCCGAGGTCGTAAACCCCTAAGCGCCATGGTTCCAAATCCTAAACCATAAGCCCTAGCCCCGCCCAGACGCAGACAGCAACCCTTCCAAAAGTGGCGGAGACGGAAGAGGAGGGGCGTTGGGGCATAGCCCGGAGCGAAGGTTTAGTACACTTGACATAGAGCTACCATATCGGGGAAGGAATGTAAGTTAACATAAGATATCCAAAGCTCTATAAGCACAATATAGTATACGTACCTACATATATGCATACATACATGCATACATACAGACATGCATACGTACATACAGACATCCATACATACATACATGCACACACGCACACACATACACATCTACCTACCTACCGACCTGCCTACCTACCTACCTACCTACATCCATGCATAATTGCATACATACGCGCGCACACACACACACACACATCTACACATACATGCCTATCCTCGGGCTCGATGAGCAGAATCCTGATTTATCGAGCTGAACGGGTGTTTCTCCATCACCGGCATCCTAAAGTCTGCCTTGAAGCCGAAACCTGAAGTCTTGATGGTTGAGTTCAGGACTTCGGAGTGTCGTGTCAGTCTTCAGATGGTGGGCTTCGGATTTCATCTTTCTTCGTCAGCGATTTTCGTGTGTCTACACCCCAAAAACCGGAACCCGGAGCACCAAAACGGTAAACCCTAAACCCCCGAACCGGAGATCCGAAAAAGGCTGAACCCTAAACCCCAGACCCCGAACCCCAGATCCTCCCCGAAACGGCAAACCCTAAATCCGGAACCCGAACTCCTAAGAACCTTAGGCCCTACCCTGAACCCTAAACCTTAGGCCCTAAACCCTCAACCCTCAACCCGAGAGCACCCGAACCAGGCGGCTTGGGACGCCCAAAACCGTTTCAAAAAATAGCCCTGAGTCCTGAACTGGGTTCTTGTTACTGGATT